AATAGTTTTTTAGCCCAAGCGATTTCAGACCTCTCGATGCAACAGCCGAACGCCCCCGATGCTTCTGGATTGTCTTCTGTACGGGCTCTGTAGCTCTTCTACAGCCCGAGTTATGTGCGTACATCGATAGCACCTCTCAAGATGACTCGAACAAAACAAATAGTTTGGCAAAACCCAGCTCGAGTATCAGACCGAGTTCAGACCTCTGAATGCGACAGGCGGACGCGTCTGATGTCTCCGAATCGATTCCTGTGATTACCAGCCCTGCAGCCCCCCTACAGCCCGAGTTAAGTGCAGAAAACCGAGAGCACCTCTCAGGATGACTCGAACAATACGAACAACTTCGCGGACCTAGTTCAAGCAGGAGACCGAGTTCCGAGCTCTGGAGTCGACAGACGGACAAACCTGATGTCTTCAAATGTGACCACCTGCACTGTAGCCCCCATACAGCCTGAGTTAAGTGCAGAAAACCGACAGCACCTCTCAAGATGACTCGGACAATACGAATCGTTTCGTGATTATAGATCGGGCAGCAGACCGAGTTCAGAGCTCTGGATTCAACAGACAAGCGCGACTGATGATTCTGAATTGGTTTCTGTAAGGATCAGCTCTGTAGCTGTCCTATAGCTCGAGTTTAGTACAGAAAACCGAGAGCGTCTGTCAAGATGACTCGAATAATACGAACAGGTTTGCAAACCTAGCTCGGCTAGCAGACCAAGTTCAAACCTCTAGATGCAACAGACGGACGCGCCTGATCATTCTGAATCGATAAGGTGTGCTCACCAGCTGTTTAGCTGTCCTGTATCTCGAGTTAGGTCCAATACACTGGCAGCGCGTATGAAGATGACTCGAAACGGCCGATCCCGCCCGTGTACTTTTTGGCAGTAGAAGCTACCCGATCGAGCTGAGATCAAGATGGCGAGCGGGAATAAGATCGAATATCACGGGAAAAAATACTAGAGCTCTAACGAATGGTTGAATTTCGAGAACAAGATTTTCAAACGACCAAAAGTCAGCAAAAGGTCCGTCGAGATTTTTCTTGCCAACTAGCTCTCCAGCGCCCCGGAACTGGGCGCCGGCGGTAAACCGTCAACCTGTCTTACCGCCGGGGGACTCGTAGAGCTTCCTGACAATATATAATGTCGAAAAAAATTGCAGAGAACGAATTGTTTTGCAGCCCAAGCGATTTCACACCTCTCGATGCAAGAGCCGAACGTCTCCTACAGCCCGAGTTACGTGCGTAAATCGATAGCGCCTCTCAAGATGACTCGAACAAAACAAATAGTTCGGCAAACCCAGCTCGAGTATCAGACCGAGTTCAGACCTCTAAATGCGACAGCCGGACGCGTCTGATGTCTCCGAATCGATTCCTGTGATTACCAGCCCTGCAGCCCACCTGCAGCCCGAGTTAAGTGCAGAAAACCGAGAGCACCTCTCAGGATGACTCGAACAATACGAATACAGTGATATCGGTTTCCTGTACTCAACTCAAGAGTCAGAGGATCTACAGAGCTGATACTTACATACACCGATCCAGAATCATCGGGCGCGTTTGTCTGTTACATCCAGAGGCCTGAACTCGTTCTGTTACTCGAGCTAGGTCCACAACAACACTTTTCGTATTTTTCAGAACAGAGTCTGATTCTCGAGCGAAGTGTGCAAAACTATTTATATGCGGCCGATTTTTTAGACTTGTTTAGGCTTGTTCCACGTGTTCCGCGGAGCTGGGCAAGAAAAGAGCTTTACGAGGTCCCCGGCGGTAGACAGGTTGACGGTTTTCCGCCGGCGCCCAGTTCCGGGGCGCTGGAGAGCTAGTTGGCCAGAAAATCTCGACGGACATTTTGGTGACTTTTGGTCGGTTGAAAATTTCTCGCAATTCAACCGTTTCAGCTCTAGTATTTTTTCCATGATATTCGATCTTATTGCCGCTCGCCGTCTTCATCTCAGCTCGATAGGGTACCTTTTTGCCAAAAAGCAAGCAGGCGGGATCGGCCCTTTCGAATCATCTCGAGAGACGTTGTCGGTTTGTTGCACTTATCTCGAGCTATAAGACAGCTACAGAGCTAATACTTACAGAACCCGATTCCAAATAATGAGGCGCGTTTTTCTGTTGAATCCAGAGGTCCGAACTCGGTCTGTTGCCCGAGCTAGGTCCGCGAAACTATTTGCGTCATCTTGAGAAGTGCTGTCGGTTTTCTCTAACTCGGGCTGCAGGGGCGCTCCAGGGCTGATAGTCACAAGAATCGTTTCGGAGACATCAGGCGCGTCCGCCTGTCGCATTCAGAGGTCTGAACTCGGTCTGCTACTCGAGCCAGGTTCGCGAAACTATTCGTATTGTTCGAGTCATCTTGAGAGGTGCTGTCGGCTTTCTGCACTTAACTCGGGCTATAGGGGGGCTGCAGGGCTGATAGTCAATCGATTCGGAGACATCAGGTGCGTCCGCCTGTCACAGTCACAGGTCTGAACTCGGTCTGCTACTCGTGCTAGGTTCGCAAAACTATTCGTATTGTTCGAGTCATTTTGAGAGCTGCTGTCGATTTTCGCACGTAACTCGGGCTGTAGGACAGCTGCAGAGCTGATACGCACAGGAACTGATTCGAAATTATTGTGCGCGTTCGTCTGTTGCATGCAGAGGTCTGAACTGGGTTTGCTACTCGTGCTAGGTTCGCAAAACTATTTGCATTCTTCAAGTCACCACAGATGTTGTCCCTTTTCTGTATTGAACTCGGGCTGTAGGGGAGCTACGAGCTGGCACGCGCAGAAAACGATCCAGAAGTATCAGGGGCGTTCGGCTGTTGCATCGAGAGGTCTGAAATCGCTCGGGTTGAAAAACTATTCGTTCTCTACTATTTTGATTCACGTTACATATGGTCAGGAGTCTCTACGAGTCCTTCGGCGGTAAGAAAGGTTGACGGTTTACCGCCGGCGCCCAGTTTTGCTGAAAAAATACTTGACATTTATTTGGAGAACTGGTATTTTTCTCACGTGTAGTGGCTTATGCCGCGTCTGCCTAAATTCTCAGGTCCGTAGCAGAAATATTACTATATCAAAAAACTTGCAGGAACCGACGTTGGATAAAAACAGAAAAAAACGTGATTTCTCGAGTTTTTTCTTTCCCGTTCCAGAAGCTTTCTTCATGTGCTCCGACGATCGCGTGCAAGAAAAGAGCTCGAGGTTCCCGGCGGTAACGAGGTTGACGGTTTACCGCCGGTTCCCATGCTTGCTGGCGTCCAATACCTGGATTGGGAGCCGACGGCAACCGTCAAACAGGTTACCGCTGGGGCCCTCGCAGAGCTCTTACCTCGTAGAGCTCTTCGGCAAGATGAGCTAAGAGGAATTCGGGCGCAGGATGGAGCTAGTTTGCCGACCCTTAAGAGACACTGTGACGACTTGGTGTCGGTTTTTCTATCTTTGTGCAAAATACCTCGTAGAGCTCTTCGGCATCGATGAGCTAGAGGAATTCCGGCGCGGGGCGGAGCTAGTTGGTCCACCCGAGCAGAAAGGACAATGTGGTAACTTTTCGTCGGTTCTGCTAAGATCTGAAAGATATTTGATCATTTATTTTGAGAAAGCAGATTTTTCGCACCTGTAAACGACTGCGAGGGCCTCTGCGTCTTAATATGAAAACTGCAGGCGCACATTTACTATCAAAAGACTTGGCGGAACCAACTTTATGTCGACATGAAAAAAATGCATGGTCAATTTCGCAAGAAATGCCTCGAGAAGCTCTCTCTTTCGACTCTGAGCACTTTACGCGTGGGAGGAGCTCTACGAGGTTCCCGGCGGTGACCAGGTTGACGGTTCACCGCCGGCGCCAGTTTGAAAATTCGTCTTGAGAACCGGTATTTTTCCCACCTGTAATGGGTTATTCCGCGTCTGCCAGTTAAATTCTCAGGTCCGCAGCTGCAATATTACTATCAAAACACTTGCTGGAACCGACGGCCGTTTTGAGTCATCTTGACACGCGTTGACGGTTTTCTATACTTATCTCGAGTTTTAGGACAGCTATAAAGCTGATACATACAGAAACCGATCCAAAATCATCAGGCGCGTTCGTCTGTCCCATCTGGAGCTCTGAACTCGGTCTGCTGCTCGAGCTAGGTCCGCAAACCTATTCGTATTCTTCGAGTCATTTTGACGAGTGCTTTCGGTTTTCTGTACTTAACTCACGATTCAGAATAGCTACAGAGCTGGTACGCACAGGAGAGGATTCTGTATCATTAGGCGCGTCCGTCTGTTGCATCGAGCGGTCTGAACTCGGTCTGCTACCCAAGCTAGGTCCACAAAACTATTCGTATTCTTCAAGTTCTCTCTGCAGGCGCTGTCGGTCTTCTGCACTGGCACCGGCGGTGAACCGTCAACCTGGTCACCGCGGGGAACCTCGTAGAGCCCCTTCCACGCGCGAGAGTGCTCAGAGTCGGAAGGGAGAGCTTCTGGACGCATTTCTAGAAAAATTGAACATTGTTTTTTTCATATCGAGACGAAGTTGGTTCCGCCAATTGCAGAAGCCCTCATAATCGTTTACAGGTGCGAAAAATCTGCTTTCTCAAAACGAATTGTCAAATATCTTTGAAATCTTAGGAAAACCAACCGAAAGTTGTAACATTGTCTCTTTTGGTCGGGTCGGCCAACTAGCTCCACTCCGCGCCGGAATTCCTCTAGCTCATCGATGCCGAAGAGCTCTACGAGGTACTTAACTGAAGCTGAAGCAGAGTTACAGAGCTGGTACGCACAGAAACCGATCCAGAATGATCAGGAGCGCTCGGCTGGAGCATCTAGAGCCCTGAACACAGTCTGCTACCCGAGCTAGGTCAGCAAAACTATTCGTATGCGACTGATTTTTTTTCGAACTGATGGTGATTTTTTCCACTTAACTCGAGCTGTAGATAAGCTTGAGAGCTCTTTCGCACAGAAATCTTGGAGAAAACTCCCTTCATGTGTACCGGGCAGCCCCGCACGAGAAAAGAGCTCTACGAGGCTCCCGGTGGTAACCTGGTCAACGAGGCTCCTGGCTCAAGGCCCAAGGTTCAAGGCTCCGCGAACGTTCATTTTCTCCTGCCTGGGGAACCTCCGCGAAGGTGAACGTTGAGCTAGCGTGTTGTTTTGCTCTGCTTACGCAACTGCCCATCTCCCTGTACATCCTGCTTGTCATTGTTGGTCTCTCATATCCATTTCTTGTTGCGGTTTGGTGGTGGCAATTTGTATGCGCTGACTTGTTCCTCACTGCCTAGTGTGGTGCTCGTAAGTCTCTGTTCTTTCAGATCTGCCTTGTGTGGATTGCATATTGTTCAGTTTGCAGTATTTCATTGTTGTGATCTCCCAGGTGTCCTCACACATCTTCCCTCAGTTTTCTGCCATATACCTATCATTTGTGGTCTTGTTTGTGCCAGATGCCTCATGTGCGGAGTCTCGCATCCAGGTGTTTGCGTCGGGCTCGGGCTTGCCAACTTGGATGGGTTCGACCGAATTGTCCTCTTCCGTTGGTGCTCGAAGGCCTAGTCGCCCGTGACACGGTCTTGCATGCAGAGTTGGATGCTCAGGCTAATAAGTTGTTGACAGCATTACTCCATCCCTCTGATAGCTGCCCGAAAGTTGATTCCGTTGCACTTCGCGGTTTTTCTTCTGCTATTGATGCTGGGGTCCAGGTTGACGAGGTCGAATATCCTTCTCAAAGCATTCGAGTATTTTCAATTGATGCTGGTGTCCAGGTTGATGAAGTGCACTGTCCCTTTCAGAGCATTCGAGTGTCCTCAATTGATGCTGAGGTCCAAGTGCATTCTCAAAGCATTCGAGTGTCTTCAATGGGTGCCGGCGTGCAAACTCAGTTCACTTGCGAGGACGCCTGTGTGCAAACTCAGTTCACTTCAATGGATGCTGGCGTGCATACTCAGTTCACTTTGAAGGACGCCGGTGTGCAAACTCAGTTCACTTTCCAGGACGACGTCAAAACGTGGATTGACAGGAGCACTGCCCAGAAGGGGTTCACCGGCCAGGTTGCGCTGCAGTATTTAATCCAGGGGCTTGAATTATTCGTAGACCTCATGACAGAGCCAATGACCATCCCAAAACATCATGTATCATTTTGGTTCCATAATTTGTTCAACCTCACGGATCATGTTCAGTCGTTTCTGGGAGAACTTTTGGATTGTCTCAAATCTCACCGTTTCGTGACGGGGAAAATGGACCGTGCCGATGAGGCCAGGTTTAAAGCTCCAGGGTACACTGTCGATTGTTTCAGTTTTGTTCCAGACGGACTCTTCGAGAGTGCCAGTCGCGCAGACCCGCGGAGACTCACAGCAGCCCCCCGGAGACTACAGCAAATGTGGGAGCCCCATGAGCTCAGAATTTCCGTCGCCACGTGGACGAATCGCCTCTCCGTCGGGGTTGTCGTCTGTCCGTGTCGCTTCGGATGTGATAGCCAAGACTGGACATCAAAAGTTGGTTCCCGAATCTTCCCAGAGCATTCGAGTTTCTCCCGATATCGGTGGGAGCTCTAGAGGTAGCCGGAAAGGGAGAGGCAAAGGCAAACGATAGGGCAGCTTTGAACATGATTGACTGCATACATTACCTCTCTGTGTATTGTACGCTGAATTGTATTGGATTGTTGATTGTGATTGCCTCGCGTGGTCTTTTTGATTGTTGATTGTGATTGCCTCGTGTGGTCATTCAGTGCATCCTTATTCAGTGCATAGTCTTTCAGATTGTGATTGCCTCGTGTGGTCATTCAGTGCATCCTTATTCAGTGCATAGTCTTTCAGTTTGTTCGTTGCCTTTGTTTATTGCTTGTGTTTCGGTAGTGTTGCCTTTCGGTCCATAGACATGGGGCATATGCATTTGTTTGAGCTCTAATAATTCACGGTGTGCATGTTCAGTTCTTGGCCAGGTATCCTGGCTCTCTTGTCGTAGTTTTAGTTTCGCCTCTTCAGTGTTCTCACTGTTGTGGGGTTGTCTGTATACTGCACCTACGGACCTAGGTCTGATCCCTGATACAAAGTTATCAGCGGCGGAGCGCATCTGCGATGTTCTCCCACAGGTTGTGCGAACGTCTTTGGTCATGCATGTTTCTGTTTCTCTATAAGAGCGGACTGCTTGCTTGACAATTTAGAGGCTTCGCTTCGCCTGAGACTTCGTTGGACCTGGCCTCAGTGGCCAAGATGGTCCCAGCAAAGACGCAATAAACCTGGTTGACGGTTTTACCCGCGGGCTCCGAGTTGCACGGAAGTAAGTGCTCATACTGCTAGAAGGAAGCGAACAACTCTGTAGCCCATCTGCAGCTCGAGTCAAGTCAAGAAAATCATCACCATATCAAAGACCCCCCCCAAAAAAAAAAAGTACGGATAGCGTTTCAGCCCGAGCGCTGATAGCAGACTGATTTCAGGCGTCTGGATACTTAAAACGATCGCGTCTGATCATTCCCTTCCGATTGCTGAGCCAAACAGAGATCTGTAGCTTATCTGCAACTCGAGCTAAGTCCAGAAATTCATCACCATCTTTGAAGAGTACGAATAGTTTTTTCGGGTCCAGTGCTGATAGCAGACCGAATTCAGGCGTCTAGATACTTAAGACTAGCGCAGCTGGTCATTGTCTTCCGATTTATGTGCCGAAGAGCCCTTTAGCTCATCTGAGGCTCGAGTTCAGTCAAGAAACTCATTACCATCTCCAAAAAAATGTGGAGTACGAGTAGCTTCGCGGACCTAGCTAGAGTAGCAGACAGAGTTCAGCCCTCTAGATGCTTCAGACGAACGCGTCTGATGATTCTGAATGGATGACGTGTGCGTACCAGCTCTGTAGCTATCCTACAGCTCGAGTTAAGTACAGAAAACCGGCAGCACCTGTCAAGATGACTCGCAACAGCCGATCCCGCCTGAGTGCTGTTTGGCAGTAATAGGTACCCGATCGAGCTGATATTAAGACGGCGAACGGGAATAAGATCGAATATCATGGGAAAAAACTAGAGCGCTAACGCTAAGTTAAATTTCGAGAACATAACTGGCGCCGGCGAAAAGCCGTCAACCTGCTCACCGCTGGGAACCTCGTAGAGCTCCTTGCGCGCGTGAGAGTGAGCAGAATCGAAGCAGAGAACTTCGCAAAAGATTTTCGTAAAATCTTCAATTTCGCATTTTTCATGTCGACATGAAGTTGGTTCCCCAAAGTGTTTTGATAATGAAAGTGCTTCTACGGAGCTCATATTAAGACGCAGAGGCCCTCATAATCTCTCAGAGATGCGAAAAATCTGCTTTCTCAAACTGAATTGTCAAATATCTTCCTAATCTTAGCAAAACCGGCCCAAAGTTACCACATTGTCCCTTCTGGTCGGGTCGATCAACTAGCTCCACCCCGCGCCGGAATTCCTCTAGCTCATCGACCACGAAGAGCTCTGCGAGGCATTTTCAACCGAGCAAAAATCAGCAGAAGGTATGTCGAGATTTTTCTTGCCAACAAGCCCTCCAGCGCGCCGGAATTACTCTTAAGCTTCCCGCACGAGCTAAGGCAAGCTCTACGAGTTACTAGCTCCACCCCGCGCCAGAACTGTCGCCGGCGGTGAACCGTCAACCTGGTCACCGCCGGGAACCTCGTAGAGCTCCTTGCGCGCGTGCGTGCTCAGAATCGAAGCAGAGAACTGGGCGCCGGCGGTGAACCGTCAACCTTCGTTTTTGCGGTCTTTGCGGTCGACTGCGCGGGCCGCCTGGCCCAGTCGCTAGCCCCCCCACTTCCCGAATTGTCCGATATTCCCTGGGAGCCGACGATTAATTGTGTCTGTGTGCTTACCCCTCCTGAATAACCTAAAAATCGGCGCTACATCGCCGAATCTGGAGCGAGAGGGGATCAACATGAATCATTTCATGATCTGGACCGTAACCCGTAGCACATGACGCCTCAGAGTCACAACCGCGCAGTCTCGAGCAAGTTTTCTGTTCTGAAACATTTCCCTCCTGATCCGCTATCCCAGCGCGGAGCATCCCAGCCAGCATGGTAGAGAGGCACCGAAGAGATTACAGCCCCACTCGACGAAGCTAAAGCGTTACCATCGCATGACATTAGCAAAGGCGCCCATTCGCTGCCAAGGGCATGCAAAGAAATATGAGTGGACCCGTGGACGTTCCACGCATGGACGCCCCCAATACACGGAAGTAACCAGATCTACCAAATCAAGCCCGCGAGGTCCATCTCCTGTCCTGCCCTCTCTCGCACTGGTGCCCTCCCCCCCCCCCCTCCCGTGGCACCCATCGCCCATTCTTTGTTAAACTTCCAGAGGGAGCAGCGATCCCTGTGGAGAGAGAGAGAGAGAGAGAGAGAGAGAGAGAGAGTTGAGGCAGCAGCGATCCCTGTGGAATCACAGGGTTAGCGTCGTCAGGGGTCGCCAAACCCTGCAACTCGTAGAGCTTCCCTTAGCAAGTTTTGCTGGAAGCTAAGAGTAATTCCGGCGCGCCGGAGAGCTAGTTGGCAAGAAAAATATCGAGAGAACTTTTGCTGACTTTGGGTCGGTTGAAAATTTTGTTCTCGAACTGGGCGCCGGCGGTAAACCGTCAACCTTTCTTACCGCCGGGGGACTCGTAAAGCTTCCTGACAATATAATGTGGAAAAGAATTTCTGAGAACAACTAGTTTTTCAGCCCAAGCGATTATAGACCTCTCAAGATGACTCTAACAAAACAAACGAACAGTTTTCCAATCGAGCTCGAGTATGAAACCGAGTTCAGAACTCTGAATGCGACAGGCGGACGCGTCTGATGTCTGCGGATCGATTCCTGTTCCCGGCACAGCTCATCGCAGCCCCCCATAGACACAGCTAGTACGTTTTAAGTGCAGAAAACCGAGAGTACCTCTCAGGATAACTCAAATAATACAACAGTTTCGCGGATCTCGTTCGAGCAGCAGACCGAGTTCCGAGCTCTCGGTTCGACGAACAGACGCGCCTGATGTTTCGAAATCGATTCCTGTGACCAGCAGCACTGTAGCCCTCCCCCAGCACGATTTAAGTACAGAAACCGAGAGCACTTCTCAAGATGACTCGAACAATACCAATAGATTCGCGAACCTAGCTCGGGGAGCAGGCCGAGTTCAGAGCTCTTGATTCACCAGACGAACGCGCCTGATATTTCTCAATCGATTTCTGTGATTATCCATTTAACCTCACCACCACCCACGGACAAATTCCAAACGCCAACCTCAACCCATCCCAAGCTCTGCGGCTGCCCTACAGATCGAGTTAAGTACGAAAAACCGAAAGCGTCTGCTACAATGACTCGAATAATACGAATAGGTTTGCGACCCTAGCTCGGCTAGCATTCTGAATGCATTAGCTGTGCCGACCAGCTCTGTAGTTGTCCTGAAGCTCGAGTTATCTTCAGAAAACCGACAGCGCGTATCAAGATGACTCGAAACGGCCGTTCCCGCCCGTGTGCTTTTTGGCCTTTAAAATTACCCGATCGAACTGAGATCAAGATGACGAGCGGGAATGAGATCGAATATCATGGGAAAAAATACTAGAGCTCTAACGTATGTTCAAATTTTGAGAACAAAAATTTCAACCGACCAAAAGTCAGCAAAAGGTTCGTCGAGATTTTTCTTCTCAACTGGAACCGGCGGTAAACCGTCAACCAGATTGCCGCCGGGGCCCTCGTAGAGCTCTTTCCTTGCACGGCGCTGCTCGATGCACATGCAGGTAGAATCCGGAAGAAGACCCCTAAAAACTCGAAGAATCGCGTTTTTTTGTATCCAAACACGCTTTCGCGAAGTGTTTTGATAGTAATAATGCACCTGGAGACCCAAGAATTGACTAGCGAACGCAAAATAACCCACTACAGCTGCGAAAAACATCAGATCTCAAAACGAATGTTGAAAGTTCTCACGAAGTTCGTCCAACCGACCGAAAGTTCGCACAGTGTCCGTCGGGGCCAGATCGGCCAACTAGGCGTCGGCGGTGAACCGTCAACCTTTCTTTTTTTTTTTTTTGGGGGGAGGCTGACCAGGCACCGAGCGCCCCAGCGCCCGTTAAGTGCCTACCTAGTCTCTCTGCAGCTGGAGGTCTTGGGCCACCTGGACTGCGGCCCGCAAGAGTCCCTCGAGACCCGAAAGCTCAGCGTCAGTGATACTGCTATGGGAGGGGAGTGCCTGTGCACAACGCCCTACTATTTCCCATATGATTGGACAAGAAGAGGAGGCTTGGGGGAAGAGGGAGACTACACGAGCTCTCTTATCTCTATGCTCAGGGTCAGGGTAAGGGTCATGGAATCGAGGAATATATCCAATCTGCAGAAACCAGCCAACGCCCACACCTTGGGCACACACTCCGCCGTCGAAGGATCCGCGGAGGCCAATAACTCGAAAGATGTCTCGGACATCAGAACGAAAGATATGGTGGTGGAACAGCTCTCTGAATATCTGGCCTTCCCGTGCTAAGTGGGTAAGTTCATCAGCTACTGTGTTACACTCTCGATATATGTGTCGAATGAAGTCGTTGCCCCATGAGGGGGGTCGTATTCCTTCCTCCTCCAACTCTTCCAAAAGAGAAATAATATTTGCCACCCGCCTACGATAAGAAGCCCCATCTCCTCCTTCTCCTCCCTCAACCTTCCAGAGGCCATTGATCCAGTTACAGATAAGAAGCGAATCGCCCGTCAGCTCGAGACCGATCCCATCATCACTCAGATCCCAAGTCGGCTCCTGTTCATTGTTCGAGGCCAATCTCTGGGCCAGCTTCTCGGACTCCTTCGCCGACAACGGACGAGCCAACATCTCCTCCCCCCTCACCTTTATGTAGTCTCCTCTCCCTCCAGTTCCTCCACGGACAACAAACAAGTCAAACAGAGACCCCAAAGTACAAGCTTCCAGGAACTGCCTGCAATACTGAACGAAGTCAGAGTAAGAGAAAGAGCACGCCCTCCACCACCGATCCTCCAGATACACAAACGAGGGAAATATCGTCTGGAACATGAAACACCAAGGATGTTCACCCGTCGCCTGCCCCTTAGTACTGCCTAATCGTGTCAGTTTCGAGGCCTCCTTCCACTTCCACTGTGAACGCCAATATATTGACTCCAGTGTCCTTTTCTCCTCCCACCTCGGGGTACAGCACATCAGAAGCCGGCGTGCGTCACGATGCGCACGAGGATACACCGTCTGTTGTCCAGGTCCAGGAACAGCCACCCTCCGACGTTTCGGGGGGGGCCTGGGGGAATCCCTAGGCC